ACCGGCTTATAGATAGTGTCGACACAATTGATGTATAATTTGGTCGTCTGTTTACGAATTAATAATTCAAAAGGCATTATAATAGCAGCACTTTTGTGTCCAAAATTGATTAAAACGCTCCGACAATGGGAGAGATTAAGGGAAAGGGATGCAAAAGTATTAACTCCATAAAACTTAACGCTAAATACAAATTAAATTTTCATAACGAAATAAACACGCTACATAGATTTAATATTCAGTGCCGTAGTAATTAGTGCCAGGTCTTTTTTGGCATCAAATATTAAAAACGTAAGTTTCCCAGTGATAATGATTGCCAGACAATGACTCACATAATATTTTTTTAGTGATATAATATATAGTTATGATATAATATATTATAGTTATAGTTATAATTTATTAATACAATGATATTGTCTTTAATGTGCAGATGTTTTTGGGATATATTTTGATTGAAAAGCGAATAAATAAAGAGAGCTTTTAATATAATCATTGAAAGGATGAGGAATTCATATAAGTTATACAATAATCAGTAACGCATTGATAAAACCGGCTTATAGATAGTGTCGACACAATTGATGTATAATTTGGTCGTCTGTTTACGAATTAATAATTCAAAAGGCATTATAATAGCAGCACTTTTGTGTCCAAAATTGATTAAAACGCTCCGACAATAGGAGAGATTAAGGGAAAGGGATGCAAAAGTATTAACTCCATAAAACTTAACGCTAAATACAAATTAAATTTTCATAACGAAATAAACACGCTACATAGATTTAATATTCAGTGCCTTAATAATTAGTGCCAGGTCTTTTTTGGCATCAAATATTAAAAAAGTAAGTTTCCCAGTGATAATGATTGCCAGACAATGACTCACATAATATTTTTTTAGTGATATTGTATAATATATAGTTATAATTTATTAATACAATGATATTGTCTCTAATGTGCAGATGTTTTTGGGATATATTTTGATTGAAAAGCGAATAAATAAAGAGAGCTTTTAATATAATCATTGAAAGGATGAGGAATTCATATAAGTTATACAATAATCAGTAACGCATTGATAATAATGAAAAACTACTACTGAAAGCAAAGACTGAAAAGAAATTAGTATTTTTACACTGAGTTTCACAAAACTATTTGTGAAGCGAAGTACTATTACTATTGAGTGTATTATGAGATGAGATCTAAACAGGAAGAGTGCCTTAGGAGTAGATTTCAGCTTCATTTCACTAATTTTGCCCCACATTTAGGCGTAGGGAAAGAGAGAGAGAGAGAGGTGGTGGGGAAAGGGAGATGAGAGTGGATTCAAACGAATTATGAATCATTATATTGAGTTGAATGCAATTATTTATCATATTTTTGCATAATTGAGATGCACTTCAAAAACATTGATTTCTCCCTCTCTCTCTCTCTCTCTCCCATTCCCCTCACAAATCCAATCATTTAGATCTTCATTCATTGACTATTAAGTACTTTTTTGGCAAATTATTCGTAAACTAAAATATTGATAAACACGGAGTTTATGAGAGACACACAAAGAGTTATTATTTTTATGATGATGATGTCTATAGAAGTTGGGGGCATTGAAACACAAATTTAAATAAATTTCATTAGACTTCTAATAAATTACATGTCATTTAAAACTTGGAGTAAGACTTTTAGGGAATTAGTGTCACTTTCTTAGTAGACTGCTATCCGTAAGACTAATATTAGATTAAATACAATAAATTAGATTAACGGCGAAGAAAACAGAAGTGCTTTTGAATTACAGTATAATTGTGTCGATTATACGGTGTTTGTGTGCATCCAATCCATAGGTACCTCTTGTGGGCAGTTCCCCACTCTTTCCCCATCACGAGAAGACTCATTTCAGTCACACCAGGGATGAGAGCAAAGAGAAGCTGGAGTTTTACGGCATTAACTTAGAGCCTAACTATTGGCCGGCAATAATAAGTGTACTTAAATGGTATCATTGGATTAAAGTAATCTATATCTATGACTCAGATTACGGCAAGTAATGACTGAAAACTCATTAATATCTGTAATTCTCATCCGTCGGAAAAAACACTACTTTCCCTCCTATTGTAGGCATTTTTGAGTTACAAGAGCTGCTAAAACACTCGCATCGAAGTGAACACAGGATTCAGTTGTCTATCGTTAAGCGCATATCAAACGCGGCCGAAGGCTATAATATGCTTAAAGCACTGGACAGGGAGGACAAGGAGGCCATGAAATATGTGGTGCTTAATTGCAAGCTCCATATTTCCAAGGCATTGATCGCGTACCACATTCAGGACACGGCTATGGAGAGACACACATTTCACTACTTATTGACTAATTTGGTGAGTATTTCGTAGCCTTTTTTCCGTTTCATTTGACACACAATTAAATATTAAACGAATTAATCTCATGAAACACTCATTACGAGGGAGGAAAGGGATTAAAAATAATAAGTCACAAGAATTTTAACGTAAGATTCTCTGTGTATTGACATTAAAAAAAAGTTTGACATCTATTCATACAGTTTGACAGGGAGTAGGAGTTTTTAGACATACATATAGTTTTTTTTGCACACATTTACTCTCAAACAGTTATGTTTGCGCTTAAGATAAGCTCCTTTTTTTGTCATAAATTTAGGTTTAATTAAGTATTTTTTGTTTGTCTATTAAAAAGACTTATAAAATAAATGCCGAGTATTTTGTTTGACGTATCGGTGCGATGAGTATATATAAAACGGATTGCATTCACAGCGAGAAAAAAGTGTTTGCGTTTGCATTTCAATAGCGACTAACAAATAGATAATGGATTTGAATTGTATAGCTGTATAATGGTATGGTATTCATAAACCTATAGGTGCTGAGCGACGCCTGGGCTAAGGAAGTTCCGGCCGCTTTCAACGCCGTCAACATAACGAGCTTCGCGTTGCCTTCAGATCGCAATGAGTTGAAGAAATTGATTCAAATGAAGAGCTCATCCGCTAATGCAGTGCTCGAGGAGGAGAAGACACCTTCAGTGAGTTGTTTGAATGGGCTGTCTATCTATGATAATAGCACTGATAGCTACTAACATACAGCAGCTCCAGTAGCCCTTAGAGCGCAAAACGCTGTTAAAGACTAACACTTTTGACATTTTCTATGATTACTGTTATGTCGCGGGGGATGTATAGCTGGAGGAAAGCCTGACGTTGGACAGCACTCGCGTACTGTTGCAGGCCTTCAATCTGATAATACAATCGCAAATCAACATCACGAGAGCGCTGGAGACGGACACAGCGGTCGTGTCGTCGACTGTCAACTTCACGAGGAAAGTGGTGATCGATCCCACCTGTCCCACACTCAAGCCATTCAAATTTGGCGAGATCATTGCCAGCCATTTGAAAATTGTTAGTTTGTCGGTACATTGCTAGCACTTACGACATGCCTATCATGTCGTTTCCCCCACCCGTTCCCCTTTCTATTGTTGTAGAGTCGACACCACTTCTAAGAAATGCAATTCTTTACTGCGAAATGTGTTACGAAAATAAGGCATTTCTCTCCTGTTTCTTAGACATCGATGACTGGCATCACCGGTAATATAGAGTTCCACAGCACAGGGCTTAGAAAGAATTACACGATTGAAGTGTTTGAGATCAGTAATAGTGGTAACTTTGAAAAGGTATTTATGTTATTCACAGAATATTCTGTGTGTGCCGTAATGTCTATAAGCAAAATAAATTTGTTTTTATTTATGGTATAAAGTTTGAGTTTTAAAGTATCAGAATTTATTTTATGCTAATAAAAGTAGCCATTTTTGTGTTTAATATGCTAAATTTAGTGTTTTCATATTAAAAATGCATGAGAATTTATGTAAATTTAACATGTTTAAATATAACTTTAGCTCGAGGGAAATTACAGTCACATAAATTCAATATTAATTTGTTATATTACGTAAATTTTTTATGGTGAATGAACACTAAAAATAGATAAAACAAACATTTTACGCGTTTATGTATTAGCCGTGTTAACCACAGAATTGACTTTTTACAACATTTGTTGACAAATGTATAAAAAACATAATAATTGTTTGGCTTATGACTTATATACGATAGTTTTTCTTAACTTAAAACCCGACTTTTTTCCCACTCTTAAACTAAAAAATGTTTTTGATAAATGGCTTTCCAGATAGCCTTATGGTCTGACATGTCTGGCCTGAAAGTGCTGCAACCAAATAGGCACAGAATAAATGATGGGTCGATCCCTACAAACCAGAACCTCGTGTATACCATTACATCTATTTTGGTGAGTCCTTATCGTGCCGTTCAATACCATTATTCATCGCATCATTCAATGAGAAATAATCACTCATTTTCTTATCGTTTCCATTCCTATAGTAATATAAGTTATATTGAGAGACATTAAAACTTTTGTCATTTCGTTTCAAGCGTTTAATTCATTTTTTATTGGACTCCAACTCTTTTCGCGGCGAAAATCATTATAATTTTCGCTCAAATTAATGATTGGAAACTATTGAATAATTTCTATTATTAAATATGAGATATATTCATATATTATACTGTAGTCACTCGTATAAGTAATATTATGGCGACAATTGATTTCCATTTGATGTGTATTTTCCATAGGAGGAGCCGTTTCTTATGTTAAGAGCAGATAATGGAGAGAATCTGAAAGGAAACGATCGCTTCGAGGGATTTGCGGCCGATTTGATGAAACAGATCGCAGAGACACTCGGCTTTCAATACAGAATACAATTAGTGAATGACTCCAAGTATGGGGGCTTTGACGGCAAGTCGGGCTGGAATGGTATGATAGGCCAACTCATTAGACACGAAGTGCATATGGTTTGTACGAAACACAGTGATTAATGAACCTAGCTTATAATTAATGATTGTCATCGTATAGGCGATCGCGCCGTTGACAATAACCCACGAAAGGGCGTCTGTCGTGGACTTCAGTCACCCATTCATGACGAGCGGCATAACCATGATGTTCAAGAAGCCGAGTACCGGCCCCCAGGATATGTTCCCATTCGTGCGACCCCTAAGCAAGGAGGTGTGGGCGTCCATCGTGTTGGCCGTGTTTGTGGTGACCCTCATATTCTACATCGTGTCCAAGTTGTCGGTCGACAAGAATATTCCCGAAACCACTCAAACCGGGAACATCTCCCTATGCTCGAGCCTGTCCTACTCGGTCGGCGTACTGGTCTATCAGGTGTCCGGCGTATACCCGCACTCCATATCCAGTCGTATCGTGTCGTCCGTGTGGTGGCTCTTTGTCTTCATAGTCGTCACGTCCTATTTGTCTAATTTGACCGCAAACTCGGTGTTAACTAAAATGAAGTTTACTTTGTATCACATTTCCGGCAAATATGAGACCCTAAGCGAAGGCTTTCTCTATTGTAAGCATACATTAGATGTAATTTTAGGTTTTTTTTGTTTAATTGACATTAACTCTAATCCCTGTTTAATGGCTCAGACGACCAGATGGTGGTTCCCATCAGTTCTTTCGACGATTTGGCCAAACAGAATATCATTGAATACGGATTATTAAGGAATTCCTCGACAGAGGCCTACTTCAGGGTATATATTAATGAGTGACCCTTTGTTACGACTGTGTATTGTATTGTATTGGATGTCGTGTTTGCCATACATTTGTCTCTTAATTGGTATCTTAGGACTCGTCGCTGACGTTGAACAGCCGGATGTGGACCCGTATGCGGGAAATGAATGATGTTTTTGTCGATTCTTATAGCGAAGGCGTCCGCAAAGTGCGTGAATCGGACGGAAAGTATGTGTTTCTCATGGAATCGCCGGCTAATGACTACATCAACGACCGCCAGCCCTGTAATACATACAATTGACCGCAAACTCGGTGTTAACTAAAATGAAGTTTACTTTGTATCACATTTCCGGCAAATATGAGACCCTAAGCGAAGGCTTTCTCTATTGTAAGCATACATTAGATGTAATTTTAGGTTTTTTTTTGTTTAATTCACATTAACTCTAATCCCTGTTTAATGGTTCAGACGACCAGATGGTGGTTCCCATCAGTTCTTTCGACGATTTGGCCAAACAGAATATCATTGAATACGGATTATTAAGGAATTCCTCGACAGAGGCCTACTTCAGGGTATGTATTAATGACTGACCATTTGTTATGATTGTGTATTGTATTGGATGTCGTGTGCCATACATTTGTCTCTTAATTGGTATCTCAGGACTCGTCGCTGACGTTGAACAGCCGGATGTGGACCCGTATGCGGGAAATGAACGATGTTTTTGTCGATTCTTATAGCGAAGGCGTCCGCAAAGTGCGTGAATCGGACGGAAAGTATGTGTTTCTCATGGAATCGCCGGCTAATGACTACATCAACGACCGCCAGCCCTGTAATACATACAAAGTGGGCAAGAATTTGAATGTTGTTGAGTACGGCATAGCACTGCCCCGCGGCTCACCCCTCAGGTGCCAATTTGAGCAAAGTCATATTGTTATAATTAATTGGATTTTTATATATAGAGATAAAGTGAACCTGGCCATTATGGATCTCAAAGGAAAGGGAGTTGTGGCGGTGCTCGAGAATAAGTGGTGGAAAGACCGGTCTCAATGCAAATACATAGATATAAAAGTGATTATTAATTACATTTTGTTTTTATTAGTTTTATTTAAAAATGTTTTTTTTATTTTACAGGAAATGTCCCAGAACAATATCACTTTTTACAACATATTCATCGGACTCATAGTCCTAAGTTTGGGACTTATTTTAGCATTTTTTGTGTCAATTATAGAGCATTTTTGCAACAAAAAAGTCTCGTATAATACACGACAATCCAATTATACAATTACTGTGAGTTTGTATTAATATTTCTGTATTTGTTGTATGTTTTGTTGATTTTCTCAAATTGTTTGTCAGAAACAGGAGGAAAGTATCGAAGAGGAAGACAAGAGTTCAGCCAAAAGGCGAATAATTAAAGACTGAATCCAACCGCAAAATCATCACTATTTATACAATCATTTGAAGCGATTTTGTTTGTCTTATATTGTAATTTAGATTCATATATAGTATTTACACGAATGTATAAAATTGCATAATATGTTAAATTACACCGAAATAGCAAGTCGTTGCCTAATGTATAGTCAAATGATACTCACAATCACTCTATAATATTGTCCACTTAAATATATACTAATTTATTGTGAAAATATCACTTTTGTAGATTTTGATACCTGCTAAATAAATAATGCCTTTTCAAATCATAAGAATTTTAAATAATTCTAATCATAATATGCTATACAATTGAAAGTATTAACTGAATATATGATGAATTTCATTGTATTTTGGGATCAATTTATGACTAAACAAATGAATACTATGTACTTTGTATTAATACTACAAATTGATACATTTTTTGAATACATTTTAAATTAATTAAAAGTGTTGTGTTTTATACTGTAAATGAGCAAATATACAAAACAAATCAAGTGATTAATAAAAAACATGTTTATATTATAAAATTCAAATTGTGTTAAACTTTTTTGAAATAAAATTCTGTATTACTTGTATAAATTACTCTAATTTATTAATTCAAAACTTTCTAATAGTTTGGACTATTATTTGAAATTAATACTAGGTAAATATAATTTTTGATAATTTATTTATTGAAAATAAAGTCGTAAAAGAAATTTTAGAAATCATTAAAATCATTTACAATAAAGTGTAAAGTTAAATCTGAAAATATACTCATAAATGTGTTGTTATCTTAATTATTAATTTCTACTTTTGTTGTCATTTTTGACAGTCTCTCCGATGTTAGACAATGAAATGCTTTTGGATTCAGTGGTTGACGCCTTAGAAGTATTTATAGTGTTTTCATTAGTACTAAAGTCCGATACAATGGTTTTGTTTAGCATTTGTTTGCGTTTGTGATAATTGGTGACAAAAACGGCATAAACGAGAATCACTCCCATTATGACCAGAATTATGCAAACTATGAGTAATTCTGTGGGAAATACTTCCGTATAAACAGAATCCGTATTCAGTGTTGTATTGAAACACTTGTCTTCGTATGCAATCATTTTCTCTGCAGACGTGCACTAAATGCATATAAATATAGTGATAATGATTTAAATTGAATACAATTTATTAGACTTCAAACCTGTGGCGAAAGGTTATCAGCTTCTGGTGTAAAGCAATACATCGGCTGCCGTTTGATGTTAAACCATAGCATATGTCCCGACTGTCCGGCCACTGAATAATCAACGATTCCCTTCAATTGTCGCATCAATGGGTCGGGTATTTGGTTGACAAACTCTGGGGGCTCACACTTAGTGCACACTTAGTAACACTACCTCTGACTCCTTCCCAACTAACTGTCAAACCCCGTACGGATCGGTCAGTTGTGTATAAAATTGTTAAATAACTGAAAGTACTCTTTGTTTGATTCCAATGAACTACAGTTGGACTGAATATAACTCCCTTTCCCTTGTATTTGTCTATTTTGTAATTGAATGCGTTATCGTATGGGTAACCATATTGGTCACGGATTGTGCAATTAATTTGGATTGAATTGTTATGTGGATCCTTTTTATACATAAAATCCAATTAATATAATGTATTAATAATCCAGTATTACAGAATACTTACAGAATCAATGAATTCACAAAAATAACTGTCGATTGCATTTGTGTCAAATATTTTTGAATGTTTGACTACACCTGAGAACTGGTTAATGGTTGAAACACCTGTCCGATTAGATACTGACCCGGGAATCATAAATACTTCAAGTTCTTTATTGACATTCAATTCAATGGTGAACTTCCATTGCATTCCCATTGAATACATGGTATAAAACTCATTCATTTTCTGATTTCCCGAATACATCCAGTTGTGAGACAATTGAATGCCATTATATGTGTCTTTGATTTTCATGAATTCACACATTGATTGACATTCAATGATAGGAATGCATAAAACAATGGCTAAAATGAGATACATTTCGATTGAATTAATGAAACGCCTGTTTAATGGATTCAATGGCTTTTGTCTTATAAATGATATAAATTATAAATAACAGTTTGATTACAGATATACTGAATCTAAACATTGGTTTTCTAATATCAATCAAAATTAATTTGTAAAACCAATTAATATCGCATTCACTTCTAATATTGTTGTGAATTATAAAATCTATTGAAAACCAAGTTCATTTCAATCTCATAGCCATTCAAACTGAACGATGAATTTAATGAGGACTTTGTGTGGATTGAAAACTACATATTCGTTGAAATCTAATTCAGAAAGTAATGTCTTTTTGTATTTATTAATGATAGTGTTTCCGAGGGGTACTTCTATAATATAGAAATTATACAATAATAGCATAATGCCATAATGCTTTAATACTAATTTATATTAAACATTGCTTTAAGACTTTTTGTTTCAATATTTATTAATTATCAATGAAAAGGAGTTTGAATAAGTTTAATAAATACGCTAATAAATAAATAGTTTTAACATAGCTTATTAAACTAATGTTTTAGTGTACCAAGTTGGTATTATATCTGTGGTATTTATTCAAAATCAGGTTTATATATAGGATATGAATCGAGTAAAGTATGATTCAAAGCAATGAAAAATATTAAAATACATATCCTATATATAAACCTGATTTTGAATAAATACCACAGATATATCAAACTGTTGTATTCAATATGTATTAAATATTCTGTATCAATTAGTCTGGCAACGGTTGTACTTGATAAGAATTGTTTACATAATATAAGTGAAACATTTATTCTTACAAGCAATTTTATAAACTTATGACATTGATCATCAAATTAGCAATAAAGTCTATAAATTATCAAAATTAGGATTAACAACACTTCAACAAAATGTAGCCACCTGTAAGTATCCCAGAATATTCTAGTATAAAAATAGTTGTAAAAACTTTATTTTAGCAATTTATTTAGTATATTCTGAATAAAATAAAAACAGACTATGAAGTTCATACTAATTTGTAGTTTACTTGTTGCTATAACTAATGCATACTCTGTGTTTGAGACACAGGAATGGTCTCAATATAAGGTAATCAATCATTTCATAAAATACATGTAAAACTCAAAA